AGTCCCTGCTCTGCTCCTTGTTCTCCTTCTTGAATTCGTTTGCTTTCCATGTTGATCCTTGCTGCGCCTCCTGAACATAGAGTATCCTGGACCAAAGGCATGCCTCTGGTTGAGCCAAGGCTTCAAGCCACAGTCCCCTTTTCTTGGGTACCCCCCCCCTGGTATAGCTGGTAACCTCCCCTTTGGTATAGCTGAGGCAGCATTGCAGTGGACTCAAATGGTGCTGCTAGGGAGAGTATCGGGATGGGCTTGGCCCCTCAAGGTGCGTTACCTCACGCCTTAGCTCACCTCTCCCCTTCTCAAGTTCACTTGCTGCAGTAGCTCTCCCTTCATTTCTGCATTCTCGCTTTTTTCCACTCTAGTGCTCATCTGTTTCTGTTCACGCCAACGCACCAGTTCCTCCTGCCCCTCCCCTCGTCTCCCTCACCTCCCATTTCTGCCCACTACCAGGTTACTTGGCATCAAGAGAAGACTACAGCAACAGAAGCAGCGAAGCAGAGTAGCAGATCGGCAGCAGCAGTTGCAGCAGCAGAAGCGGCCAAGGCAGCAGCAGTAGCAGCAGTGGGGGCTGGGGGGCTAGAGGGCAGTCTAGGCTAGGTGAAGCTGTCGGGAGGTGTGGTATCAGGTGTGGTACAGTAACAGGTGAGGTGTGGTAACAGGTGAGGTGTGGTAACAGGTGAGGTATATGGTATTCTGATCCCCTCCTCTTTCTCTCTTTTCCCCCTCTCCCGTGCAGCCTGAGGGTTGGAGCACTGGAGGGCGGGAGAGTGGAGTCCACCCTCTGACTCACCTCCTGCTCTCTCCCTTCTCCCTTCCCTCCCAGCAGCACCCTGCCTGGACCACAGTGGAGTCTCGCCCTCCCCTAATCCCCCCCTCCCCACTTCCCAGCAGCCTCACCATCATGGCGCTCTGCATGGCTCTGGTAGGTACAGGTACGCAGGCATGGGGGTGAAGTGTGGGGTGGGTGGGGGGAAGCATGAGAGCAAGCAGGGAGTTCACTTCCCGAGGGGCAGCATTCTCAGGAGCTGTGCCTTGTGGGGTGGGGTGTGGTGGGTGGAATCTCCGCGGCACGGCACTCGGTGCTCAGGTTCCCGATCTGGCGTTTAAAGCTTAATGGACACCGTCAGAGCCGACCGGCCGGCGGCTCTGGTTCGCGTCAGCTCTAGCTACGTCAGGGGCGGGATTTGAGTCTTGGGCTGGAAACGATTATTCACTGCCACACCTCGCCCGACAAAGCACAACTTCTGCGGATGGTGTTTCCGAAAGGGGGTGGGCTGTCTGCTGCTCCTACTGCTGGAATGTGAAGTTGGGGTGCTTGCTTCCCTCTGTACCTTCCCTCTCTACCTTCCCTCAGTTCCCTTCCTCAGTCCCCTCCCTCAGTTCCCTCCCTCAGTTCCCTCCCTCAGTTCCTTCCCTCGGTCTCTTCTTGCCTCCCTTTGTATCCCCCCTCTGTCTCCTCTGATTCCTCCCTCTCTTTCCTCCCTCTGTCGCCTCTCTCTCTGTTTTCCTCCCTCTGTATCTTCCCTCTGGTACCTCGCCCTCTGGTTTCCTACCTCTGTACCCTCTGTCGTCTCTCTCTCCGTTTCCTCCCTAAGAATCCTCCTTCTTTCTACCTCTGTATCCTTCTTCTGTCGTCTTATTTTCTCTGTATCCTCCCAGTGTCACCTCGCTCTCTGTTTTCCCACCTCTGTATCCTCCCTCTGTCGCCTCTCTTTCTCTGTTTTCTTACCTCTGTATTCTCCCTCCGTCACCTCTCTCTGTTTTCCTCCCTCTGCATCCTCCTTCTGTCCCGTCTCTCTGCTTTCCTCCCTCTGTATTCTCCCTCTGTCTCCTCTCTCTCTGTTTTTATGCCTCTGTCTTCCTCTCTCTGTTTTCCTCTCTCTGATTTCCTCTCTCTGTTTTCCTCTCTTTGTTTTCCTCTCTCTGTTTTCCTCTCTCTGTTTTCCTCTCTCTGTTTTCCTCTCTCTGTTTTCCCCTCTGTTTTCCTCTCTCTGTTTTCCCCTCTCTGTTTTCCTCTCTCTGTTTTCCTCTCTCTCTGTTTTCCTCTCTCTGTTTTCCTCTCTCTGTTTTGCTCTCTCTGTTTTCCTCTCTGTTTTCCTCTCTCTGTTTTCCTCTCTCTGTTTTCCTCTCTCTGTCTTCCACTCTCTGTTTTCCTCTCGCTGTTCTCCTCTCCCTGTTTTCCTCTCTCTGTTTTCCTCTCTCTGTTTTCCTCTCTGTTTTCCTCCCTCTGTCGCCTCTCTCTGTTTTCATCCTCCTGTATCCTCCACTGTCTCAACTCTGTTTTCCTCCCCTTGTGTCCTCTCTGTGTCTTTCCTTTGTCAGATCTCTCTTTCTCATGAGAGCAAGATGCTCATGTTTGGTGGCACATGATGAGCCCTATGGCACTGATGCCACCTGTTGCATGAGAGCATGATGCTCATGCTTCAGGCATGCCATGCTCTGTGCTGTGCCATGCTCTGTGCTGTGCCGTGCTATGTGCTGTGCCATGCTCTGTGCTGTGCCATGCTGTGTGCTGTGCCATGCCCTTTGCTGTGCCATGCTGTGTGCTGTGATGTTGGCACAGCACACAGCATCTCCCTCCCCTCCAACGAAGCACGGGCCATCCATCAGTGAGCCGCCGAGCCCAATCTCACCTCACTCACCTCACCATTCCCTAGGGAAAATGCCACGCCATGCCATTCCTTGCAGCCACTCGGCTGCTGCGTTGTTCTCCTTGGGCCACACAACCCCCACGGCATTCCCAAGTCTGTCGCCTTTGGTCGTTCATGGCTCAGAAAGCAAACCGTTAGACCTGCTACTTCTCCTCCCAACTCTACACCTGCTGGTCCTAAACGTTGCCGACTTAGTCACTTAGCCATGATCTGCGGCTACTGTAGCGTTACGGTTACGGCTACGGTTCGATCTGATTAGACCGATTAGTTGTCATGCAGGAAATGTCCCCAAAATTGCCTCAACCTTCCTACCTTTGGTTGGGTCACCAGGTCCAACCAACCTTCCTACTCTTGGTTAGGCTCAAGTTCCAACCAACCTTCCTACCTTAGAAACCTGTGGACCCTGGGTTTGTCTATAGCCTATGGCCCCTGTATTGGTTCTCCCTGTTGCTAGTCCACCGCTCAGCTTTTGCATTAATCAGCTTCCGGGTGCGTTGCGACGATGTAAGACATTTAGCTCCTATTGTCGTCTTCGTTTTCATCTAAAGGGGTGACCTCCCGAAGTGACGGCCTAACTGCTGCTCGTGGTAGCGTAGATTCAGCTAGGCTCAGCGTTGTTCCCTGTTCACTGAGAATTATTTCTCCCTGATACACCGTCACACGCTGCAGTACGACGGTTGCGACCCAGCAAGGCTTCCTCGCGAAAAGCTTCGCGACGGATGCGTTCCACGGCAGCAGACCGTACCTTTACAGTGAAGTTACGCGGCGACAAGACGACATGGCGCAACAGCTGACATGTACATTACCAGAGAAAAGCCTTCCAAGTCATGAGAGGCTCGTGCGACGGCTCGTGCGACGAAAGCGATTGTTCCAGCGAGTCTCGGGTTAGCGCCAAGGGAAGCATCCTCCAGTCCGAGTGACAGACTATTGGCTCCGCCGTTGAAGCTGGCAGTCTGAAACCAACGTTTCTCGATATTGCCGGCCGGGAACAACGCAGCGTTTCTCGGAATACGAATCAGCGGCGGAAAGCAGCGTTCGCAGCTCTTCGCAAACGGCAGCAGTAGCGATCGCCGACCGGCATTCCAAGCAGAGTGACGAAAGTCACGGGACCAGGAGGATGGTATAACGGTACGTAATAGCGACGGCTGGTGGGGGGAATCATGTAAGCGTCTAGGATAAAAACGCCTAGAGAGTCTCGTCGCTTTCCCCGTTCGCGTCATGTGTGAAGTTAACCTTCCACTAACGCGTGTACAGTCCCTCTCCCCCTGTCCTCCTCGTTCTCCCATCTGCATGCGTGCAATCAACTCGGAGGCGCGGGATTTGGGTCGTCTCCGTCGCTGTAGCGTCTGACCAAACACTTCAAGAATCGCCAGGCGTCATTTGAAGCTCGCAGGCGTGGCTTCGGAGATCGCAGCCATTCGCTTGAAGACCGTTGGCGACCACGCTGTGGGACGATAAACGGTACGTGAGAGCGAAGGCTGTTGGGGAATTCCTGTAAGCATCTAGGATAGGAACGCCTAGAGAGTCTCGCCGCTTTGCCTGTCCGCGTCATGTGTGAAATAGCCCTCCCGCTAACGCGTGTACCCTTCCTCTCCCGCTGTCCTCCTCGTTCTTCCCGCTGCATGCTTGTGATCAAATCGGAGGCGCGGGATCGGAGGCTGCAGTGTCGGACGAATCGGCTGACGTCGTTTCAAGGATTTCCTGACGTCGTTTCGAGAATCCGATTCTGCGAGTCGCCTGACGTTGTTGGAAGCTCTCCGGCATGTTTTTTAACGCCTGGGAGCCAGGCGTTCGCTTCGACATCGCAGGACAAGACCAAAGGTACGTGAGAGCGAAGGCCGTAGGGGGGGGTTTCTGTAAGCGTCTAGGATAGGAACGCCCACTAACGCATGTACCCTACCTCTTCCCCTGTCCGCTCGTTCTCCCCTCTGCATGCTCGCGGTGGCTGTCGTGACGGAGCAACCTGGCTGGAGCAGCCAAGCGGCAACCTGGCTGGAGCAGAGCAGAACGCCTCAAGTGAAGGCGTGGCTCGCAGGAGTGGCAGAGCAGCGGACAGAGTGTGGTACGCGCCAGGGGGTGCTTGCAGGGGGGAGGGAAGTGAGTCGTAGAGCGTCGCCGCGCAGAGGCAAGAGTCGTGTCTCTTGCTTTTACCTCAGCCACTCGCCTCGTGCCGTTTCTAACCCTCCCTTGGTGCCGCTTCTGTGTGCGTGTCTCTCTCCCCATGCGTGTGTGTGCCTCACGGCCTACAAGCACGGGCAGCCGGACCAACGGAGCACAAGCTGCTTTCTCTTCCAACACAGGAGGTAACTGGGGGTGACGATGCCGCTTGGCAGTATGGCCGCAGCGCGAATGCACCAAGCGTTGCTTCTTATCTCAGTCTCAGTCTTCCATCTGCCATCTCTCCTTGCTCACGCCCCTTGTCCTCTTCCTTGCCCTCCTACCTCTCCAGCACTCCGGCCATACTGCCTCCCCACAATCCAGCACTCAAGGGGGCAGTGCCTGAAGCGACTCAGGGGTCACCAGTGCCTGCAACAGCGGCTGTATGATCGTAAGCACACAAGGAGTCGTGAGCCGATCAGCTAGTAAACTATTTTTCCATCAAACGTGTTTTCTCTTGTGCGATTCTCTTTTGTCTACCTGTTTCCCACAGTGCCTTGTGCTGTCTCTTGTGCAATTCTCCTGCGTCTGGAGCTGCAGATTCTCCTGCGTCTGGAGCTGCAGATTCTCCTGCGTCTGGAGCTGCAGATTCTCCTGCGCCTGGAGCTGCAGATTCTCCTGCGCGCCTGGAGCTGCAGATTCTCCTGCGCCTGGAGCTGCAGATTCTCCTGCGCGCCTGGAGCTGCAGATTCTCCTGCGCGCCAGGAGCTGCAGATTCTCCTGCGCCTGGAGCTGCAGATTCTCCTGCGCGCCTGGAGCTGCAGACCAAGAGAGGACAAAAGGAAGTGCATGGCAGAAAACAGTGATGCTCCATGTCCTTAACCATTCCCTCGTTCCGTCGAACTCCCATGGCAACACGTTGACCCCTTCACATCTCTCCTGCTCTGCTACTCCCTTCTTTACTCCCCTCTTCCCCCTCTCCCAATGTCTGCCTGCCCCACCTTCCGCCCGTCTCAGGTGCAGCTGGATGAGCTCATGAGCGAGACACACAACAACACCACGCCCACCAACTCAATCTCACACGCCACAGCACCTGCCCCGCACCTGCTCTCCTCTGCCGCCATTGCTCTGCTGCTCAACAATGCCCTCACGCCCCTGCCTCTGCCTGCCGCCGCACCTGCCTCACAATCCTCCTCCATGCACGGAGCCACCGTGCCTGCAGCCCAAGGGGGCCGCCCATGACTCGTGTGCCACCTGGTTCCTCCATGCCCAGGGGGTTGTGCAGCAGCAGCTGTCGCATGCTTTGCGCTTCGACTGTCAGTGGCAAAAGCCTTGATCATGTGTACGAGGCATGCTTGCCTTGAGGGAGGGCTGGTCGTCGGCGGGACATGGCGGAACTGGAAACTAGGGTGGTTGGGTGCATGGTGGCAATGCAATGTGTGAAGAACACGGCTGCTACCTACCAAAGCGGTCTATACACGCCGAAGCAGCGGGTAGCATTCGGTGGTTGTGAGCCGGGCGACATATTTATTCTGTGAGCCATATGCAGGCTGTGTTGGTTCACAGTGCCATGAGCTAAGTGTGATTGCACGGAGCAGTCTTTTGATTGTTGCTTGAGGATCGAAGCGGTGCAGTGCAGTGCTGCTTGAGATATCATTGTACTTGCATTCCACCAATGACATGGCATCCTGGTCCTGGCATGAATTTTGGCTTCTCGAGTTGTTGCGAGCATGTCAAGCTGCATGCAAAGAAACACTACCTTCACCCAAAGTAAGTTCATGACACGGCAGCAAAATTTCTTGTAGTTGGGGATTTTCCCCATCCGTGTACTCGGTACAGAAGAAATTGATGACCTAATGCGCAAACGGGGATGTGAATAGAACCCAGAACCACGCTCATTATCTGAATGGTACTCCCACACAGAAATTGCACGAGTAGCACGTTTGGCTTCCCACATACCAGTAGCGACCACCTATCCACCGCACCGCCCATCCTTACGCCGCCATTCCCTCTACTCGAATCGCGCGGAGCGTTCCCAAATTGCTCGCCGTCTGTCGCGCGGTTGCTTCGCCTGTGCGCACCTCCGTCGCGGCGTCCTCGAGCCCCTTCCCCCCCGCGCCATGGCGCCATCGCCGGACGTGAAAGTGCCGGGCGATCGTCTAGGGCTCGCGTCGGAGCTCGCAGTGGGTCCCGGCACTTACGCGCGCGGCCCGTTCGTGTACGCCAGCACAACGGGCGCCATGGCCGTCACGCCCGGCGAACCAGTGAGTGTCCACTTGGCATCGCCTCATCGCCTCATCTGCCCTGCGTTCTTCCCCGACGCCTGCTCCCGCTCTACCCGCTTTCCGCCTCCAATTCCCCCCCACCTCATCCCGGTTCCCCTTCCCTCGTGATATGCTTCTCCCCAACCATCCTCCCCCACTTCCAGCAACCCCTCCCCCCTCTTCCGCCCCATCCCCCAGCTTCCGACAGTGTCAGTGCGGCGCGCGGGAGCGCAAACTGCCATTCCCAGCGTTGGCGCAATAGTCATTGCGAAGGTGGGCGGGGAAGAGGGGGGATCCAGAGGGGAATGGGGGATGGGGGATGGGAAGAGTGTTGCTGCTAGCGCATGAGGTGCTGACGGGGAGGAAAGATGAGAGGGATGTTGACCATGTGGTGTGGAGGGCGGTTACAGGAGTGGGCATTTGGTCCCCTCGCCACACGCATTGATCCTCCCACATGGGACCCTTTTTGTTCTCCTCCGTCTTACCTCCTCCCTCATTCCCCCCTCGCCCTCCCCTCGCACAGCCACACACACCCTCTCTCTCCCTCTCTCACTCACACATCCCCACACGTCCTTCCTCCTCCCCCTCTTCCACCTCCTCCGTTCCCTCCCTCCGTTGGTTCTGGCTCCTCTGCTGTATCCCGCTCCCATCGACTCCCCTGCCCCCCCATCCCTCCCCCTCCCCCTTTGGCGGAGAGCAGGTGGCAAGGGTGACGCCGCGAGCGGCTATGGCGGACATAGTGTGCGTGGGCGCGCATGCCGTCACTGACAAGTTCTCAGGCATCGTCAGGTGGGTGGGCGCTCTCTTGCTCAGGTGTCCGTTACATCATCAAGGATATACTCTCTCTCAAGCCTGGTGTGTGCTTTGGAATGTGCACCTGGCGAGTGGGTGGTGCGGGTGGCAGGCAGCAGGACGTGAGAGCAACGGAGATAGACAAGGTGGATCTGCTGGCATCGTATCGCCCCGGTGACCTCATTCGAGCTCAAGTGGTGCGCCCTCCCTCCCTCATCGCCCTCACACACATTCTTCCATTCTCTCTCTCCCCTGTCCTCGTCCTTGTCGTCTCTTTCTGCTGTCTAACCTGCCTGCTTGCCCCTTTCCTCCCTCGTCCCACGTCAGCTTTCACTGGGAGATTCTCGGGCGTATTTCCTATCCACAGCCAAGAATGACCTGGGAGTCATACTGGCCAAGGGGGTCGCAGGTTAGTGCTCCACTGCTCGTGTCAGCATTTAATCCCTTATGCATGCATCCTCCTTTCTCTTCCAGTATTTTCTTGTGTCATGCTTTCACCCATTGACAAAAAGCATTGTATCTTCCCAACCATGTTGAACTGTGTAAACCACAGGTGTACCCATGATGCCCATAAGCTGGCAAGAGATGCGATGCCCCATCACTGATCAAGTGGAGAATAGGAAAGTTGCTAAGGTCACATGAATAAACCTGTACATAATCCAATTTGTTTCTTATTAGGCTGTTTCTATGAAGTTGGAAGTGTATTGGTAGTGTACATTGAAGGCTTAAAAAATTATCCATTACCTCTTGTAAGGAAAATTCCTTTTCCTTACTTCGCGTCCCCGCTCAGCGCGTACACCACTGTAGCACCACAGTCAGCACCGTTACCACTCGCAACCCTCGCATCGATAATCCTCCCGCCACCTTCGACGTCGCACCCCGACCTCACGGCTCGGAGGGTAAGCCGTGCTCCGGGCCTCCGCTTCGACATTTCCCCAAACCTCAGTCCCAGGCCCGTCGCGCGACAACCACAGTTCATTACCGTTACCACTGTAGTTTCGCTATATATTCTTCGCTCATGCCTTCGCTCATTGTACTCTTGCTTCGATAGTGCAATTCTCGCTCGCTCACTCAATTGCACTCGTAACACTTGGTATTCAGAGCCTACGATCTCTTCTCGGACCGCACCCACACCTTCGCTTCCTCACTATCTCAATTTTTTGGGGGGGTAGACGTCTCTCAGCGACACAGCACCGCCGCTCGTAGTGCTCTCTCGTAAGTACGCACGGCCACGACAGAGGCTCTCGCTGAGCTTGCCCGACACCCCCGCCATAGCCGAATTCACGCTCGCGACGTTGACGCAGGAGCAACTTGACCGTCTGGTGCGCCAAGTTGAAGAATCGGCGCTCGAAATTGCGACGCTCACGGCGGAACGAGACTCCGCGCGTCAGCAATCCACGGTGAATACTCCAGCGCCACCACACGCACCAACAAATGCATCTGCACAATCGGACGAACCAATCGTCATTTCGTCCAGCACACCAACACAACACGACAACGTGGGACAGCGCGCAGGTGCAGCCAGTGATGGCGCCGCCCAACCGATGCCTGGCATGGGGGGAAACAGGGTCGCACCAAGCCCCCGGGAGACTCGCGAAGCCCGTCGGCACGTGGAGTTCGCGGCGACAAGTGGCGAACAGGCCATCATGGCACCAATGCCACTCAAGCCGCAACGCCCGCCCTGCTTCGACCCGAGCCAGCGTGGAGGTCCGACGGTTCAATCATGGGTCTTCACGATAAACGTCTTCTTTGACGCGAATTACGTCGAGTCGGACGCAACGAAGATCCGATATGCCGTCTCGCTGCTGAGGGGCCCCGCCATGGACTGGTGGCGAGTCATCGTGACGTCGCCACGCGCCTACGAGCCACCGTCGCAAGAGGAAGGGCCCACGGGTCCAGCTGTCACTTGGAGTTCATTCTGCGAAACCGCCCAATACAGCACGTGGGATGCGTGGTGCGCAGGGCTTCGGGCGCGCTTCGAGCCGATCGCGGCTTCTATTTCGGCGCGTCATAGACTGCGTACTTGGCGGCAGCTCGGGTCGGTTCAAGACTACACGAGTGGTTTTCTCGCATTATGCGAGCAGGTCGGCTACATGCACGAAGCGGAGCGGGTGGACCGTTACGTCGAAGGGCTGAAGCCGGACATCTCGCACGAGATCATGCTACGCGGGCTCTCGAACTTCAACGAGATCCTCGCGCTCGCCGAGAAAATCGACATTTTGCGCCGTCCGAGACCGGGGTCCTACTACGGACATCGTCCTCGGGGACCGATCGAGCACGCCACCGTACATGCCGTTGCGACGAATGCAGCTGCCGCGCCGTTTAAGTGGCGCTGCTTTGCTTGCAATAGGCCGGGCCATCGCAAGAGTGAATGCCCAGAGGAGCTGAGGCGCCGCGGAGCAGAGCAGGGGAGGGAGTCTCCAAGGCAGGGAAACGCCAGCAGTCAGTAGGAATCGGGCCAACTACTGACGAGACTGCCTGCTCGCCCAACCGCACCGACCCTCACCGAGTCACAGTACCGATTCATGCTATCGATCGGGCTCGGACGAATAAGGAGGGTACAGCGACGGATTGCCCAGTACTGATCCACGGGAAAATACAGGGAGCAGCAGTGAAGATTTTTATCGACGGAGGAGCAAGTCACAGTTTAGTTAATACCGCAACCGCACGCAGACTGCAACTGACACTTAGCCGTTGTTTACCTGAGATAGAGGCACGCTTAGTTGACGGCATGCCACTGGCCATACGGGAAAAGGTGGAGAGAGTCAAAGTCCGCTGCAGGGGAAAGTTCGGATTTACACAGGAAATGCTCGCGACGACACTCGATGGGCACGACATTTTACTGGGACGTGATTGGCTGCGACGGTATAACCCGCGAATCAACCAGACGACGGGTAGCTGCACTGTGCGAAGTAGCGGTAACTGGGTTGAGCTACCTCGCTGGCAGTCGCCCGAGTCTTCAACGGTACACGTCAACGCCGTCACCATGAAACGGGCTGTCGCTGCTGGAGCTGACGTGTAAGCAGTAGACATTTCAGTGGTAGAGGGAGCAGAGCAGCCGAGTGATTTCAAGAAACTGCTGGCAGCAGTACCGCCCGAACTACAGGAACTGTTGAAACGATACCACGGGATTTTTCCCGACGACTTACCGGAAGGACTGCCACCTCAGCGAGCACATGACCACCGAATAAAATTAGAACCGGGGGCACAACCAACTGTACAGCGACAGTTCAGACTGACACAACCCGAGCTCGACGAACTGAGGAAGCAGTTAGATTACTTATTAGCGAAAAATTCATCCGACCGAGCTCGTCACCGTTCGCCGCACCGATACTGTTCACGCCAAAAAAAGACGGAGGGTTTCGCATATGCATCGATTACCGAGCGCTCAACAGGGTAACAGTCAAGTCGCGGTACCCCATTCCCCGCGCCGACGAACTGATCGACCAACTGCGAACAGCACGGGTTTTTTCGAAAATAGATTTACGGGGAGGTTACCATCAGATTAGGGTCGAACCATCGGACTGCGCCAAACAGCTTTTCAGACTAGGTACGGGTCATTCGAGTACATCGTGATGCCTTTCGGGCTGACCAACGCACCAGCGACATTTCAGATGACCATGAACGAGGCGTTTATGCCACTTCTAGATAAATGCATGATCGTTTACCTCGAGGACATCCTTGTCTACAGTCGCGACGAGCAGCAGCACTTAGCAGATCTGGAAGCAGTGTTTAAGATTTTAGACGAGCACCGACTCCTGACAAAGGGTTCCAAGTGCGAGTTTTTTCAGGACCGGCTAGAATTTTTGGGGCACGTTATTTCGGAGGCTGGGGTCGAAATTGACCCCAAGAATTTAGACACGGTGAAAGCCTGGCATGTCAGAATGTTATATTTGTCAGATTTATATGACATAGCTACTGTAGGCTATAGTGGGGTAGCACACATGGGGTACAGTTTTCTAGGGTTTGCTTTTGTACCCAACTTTCCTTTAGTCATTCCATTCCACGTTTCTTCTCATGGTATCGAGCAGGTTCCCTAGAGGGAACACTTCCTAGGGCCCACCACGAATTTTTTTTTTCCTGCCCGGAGCGCGCTTCGCTCCTGCCCGAGTCACGCCCTGTGTGCCCTCCCTACCGTCGCGCCCTCTCACGGCCCCTCACGGCCCCTTCGCGTCGCCCTTAGCGGCCCCTCTCACGGCCCCTTGCGCCGCCCTTACGGCCCCTTACGGCCCCTCGCGCCGCCCGTCGGCCCCTCGCGCCGCTCTTAGCGGCCCCTTACGGCCCCTCGCGCCGTCCCTTACGGCCCCTCGCGCGGCCCCTTACGCCCCTTACGGCCCCTCCCGCGGCCCCTCACGGCCCCCTACGGCCCGTCGCCGCCCTCCGCGGCCCCTCGCGCCGCCCTATCACGGCCCGTCGCCGCCTTCCGCGGCCCCTCGCGCCGCCCTTCACGGCCCCTTCGCCGCCCTTCGCGGCCTCTCGCGGCCCTGTCGCCGCCCCCCTCCGGCCCGCCATCGCCGCCCCTGCCGCAGCAGCCGCCGCAGTCCCTACAGCAGCGGCCGCCGCCGTTCCTGCAGCAGCAGCCGCAGCCGTCGCCAGCAGCAGCCGCCACCACCTCCCTCGGGGCCGCAGCTGCTGCCGCCGCTGACTGCACCCGCCGGTGCGCCTCGGCCCTACCGACGCCGCTCCACCCGGCCCCGCCGCCGCTCCCCGCGCGGCCCCGCCGTCACCACCGAGCCGCCGGCGCCGCCGAGCTGCTGCCGAGCTGCCCGATCCACCCGAGCCGCCCGAGCCGCCGCGCCACCCGAGCCGCCCGTGCTGCCGAGCCGCCGTACCGCCGAGCCGCCCGAGCCGCCCGAGCCGCCGAGTCGCCGAGCCGCTGTTGCTGCCGAGCCGCCGTACCGCCGAGCCGCCGTACCGCCCGAGCCGCCGAGTTGCCGAGCCGCTGAGCCGCCGAGCCACCCGAGCCGCCCTGTCTGGTAAGAGCAGCGCCTCTGTCACTGCACTGCCCTTACCCTACTGTTCGCGCTACTAGTCTACTGCTGTCATGGCTACCCCTAGTGTCCTCGCTTTTGACGCTGAGGGTCGGGCCATTGACTTTGACGTCTGGGTAGATGACCTGCAGCTTTTCCTACAGTGCGATAGGGCAGACGGTCTCTCCCTCTTTGACCTCACCTCTGGTGCCTCTCCTGCCCCTGCTGCTGATGCCGACGCCACTGTTCGCTCACATTGGGCCACTCGCGATGCTGCTGCACGTCTTGCTGTGCGTCGCCACCTGCCTACCTCTGAGCGTGCGCACTTTAGCCAGTACAAGAGTGCTCAGACCTTGTACGACGCTGTAGTTGCGCGCTACTCCTCCCCTGCCACTGCTGCACTAAGCCGCCTCATGCTACCGTACCTCTTCCCTGACCTTGCTGCCTTTCCCACAGTCGCTGACCTCATTACGCACCTCCGCACTAGTGACACTCGCTACCGCGCTGCGCTTCCTGCTGAGTTCTGCGCCAAGAACCCCCCCCCCATGTACATCACCCTCTACTACATAGTCACCCGGCTCCCTGACTCCCTTCGCGTAGTCAGGGACCACTTCCTCTCAGTTTGCCCCACCACTCTCACCGTTGACCTCCTCGAGAAGGCCCTCCTAGCAG